CAGTTAGTATTTTTAGTATAACATCCAGAATGGTTTGGTTGGTTGGTATGCTGGTCTTAACAAATTCATGAGTTTCAATTAAGTCTCATAAATACATTATCACTGGCACAGTTCAGTCCAAATGTGATGAAGTGACTTGCAACTGTCTCACTTGCAGTCCCTTGTTTACTGGGTGATGGAAGCAGGCAGGAGAAGTGGAGCTGCTTGGAGGGAGGTGAGGAGCCTCCACTCTTTTTTAAAATTTTTTAATTGAATTTTTGTGCATTTCATACAGAAAATCATCTTTATACCCGCTGCTCCTTTGGCACCCTCCCACAGGCGCCGCCCCCCAACCACTGGAGTTCATACATTCTGTCCTTTGTGTTAAGGCCTATTGTATAAAGTTATGTGTCCCTAGATGTCCCTCAGTGCAAGTTCATCCACTGACGTCTAGTCAGCCTATCTAGAGTTCTTCCCTTTAAGATTAGCTCTTCCTCATCCAGCAGTAATCAGCTGCCAATAATTCTTCAATTAAGATTAGAGCCTGCTGTTCATTTCCACAGTTCTGTGCTGGCTTTTTGTCTGCTTAAGTTTGCATGGATCTTGTGCACACTGGTACCATTGTTGTAGGTTTATATGAGAAGGGTCCCAGGCCCCTTCTACAGAACTTACTAGTGGTAGCCTCCTGACCTCCTCTGTATCCAAAGTGTACAGAGCCTTGGGCATGAGAAGTGGATGTCCCTTTGGGACTTCTTCCACAGCCCCACTCCCATGGACACCAACATCAACAGATGTGCAAGTCCTTTCTGTAAAACAACATGAGCTGAGCCTAGTGATTATCCCCTGCAATCCTGACACTCAGGAGGCTAGACAGGAGATCATGAGTTCTAGATCAGCCTAAGCGCAAGGAAAAACAAATTAATTTATTAAATAAAATGCCATAACATTTACATATATCTTATGCACATTCTTCTAACTACTTTAGGTTGCCTCTAGCTTATGACACTTAAATAAATGCTATAGTTGCTGTACTGTATTGTTTAGAGAATCATGACAAGAGAAAATTTGAATGTGGACAGTACAGATCCCCGCCCCCCATTTTCATGCACCATCTTCACCTACAGTTGGTTGAATCTGAGGACACAGAGTTTCAAGACAGGGAGGGCTAGCTGGACTCTTAGTGAGAAAAGCTGGGAGAAAGCAGAAAGATGATCTTTTACATTTTTAAGTATATAATATCTTTATTATTTGAGAATTTCATACATATATATGATGTATTTTGGTCATAGTTATACCCCACTCTCCCTCTAACTCTTCCCAAATCTACTTTCTTCCCCTCCCAACTAAGTGTATTTTTTTTTTTTTTTACAAACCACTGAGCCCAATTTGTGCTACCCATATAATCATGCATATGGGGTCATCCACTGGATCATGGTAGGCATACCAGGATGCCATATCCTTAAAGAAAACTGTCTGTGCTGGATAGCTTTAGTGTCAACTTGACACACCTGGGTTGAGGGAGCCTCAACTGGGGAATTGCCTACATTGGATCAGCCTGTGGCAATGTCTGTGGGGCATCTTTTTGATTATTGAGTCATGTGGAAGGGCCTAGCCCACTGTGGGTGGTGCCACCCCTGTGCAGGTGGGACTATGTTGTATAAGAAAGCAGGTTGAGTAGGGGCCAGGGGAGCAAGCCAGTAAGCAGTGTTCCTCCATGACCTGTGCTCCAGCTCCTGCCTCCAGTTCTTGCCCTGAGTTCCTACCTTGGGCTCCCTGATGAACTGTGACCTGGGAGATGTAAGCTGAATAAACCCTTTCCTTCCCACGTTGGTATTGGTCAGAGCATTTTGTCACAGCAATGGAGAAACGAAACAGAACAGAAATTGGTACCAGAAGTGGGGTATTGCTGTGACAGACCTGACCTTGGTGTTTTGGGGAGTATTGTGGAAGTGTTTGGAACTTTGGACTGGAAAAACCATTGGGTGCTTAGAGTTTGTTGCTGTGGAGCTTGAAACAGTTGTGTGGATGATAGAGGCCTGGCTTGTGAAACTTTAAGGGGAAATGGAGACTATCAGAGCTGTTTGTGTGATATTTTGAATTGAGAATTTATGGGTTCTAGTTGACTGGGGCTGAAGAATCAGCTGCGATTAAAAAGAGACCAGAGCCAGAAGTAAAAACAGTTGCTTTACTGGGCCAATTGATGCTGGTTAGCTGGGACTAGAAAATCAGCTATAAGTAGCAAGAGACCAGCATCACTGTGGTGAAAACATCTGGAAGTATTTCCTCAGGCTCAGTACACAGAAGCTGTGGCCCAGAGGAGACCCAAGCATCCATGTCAAGCTAAAAGCAGGGTTTGGTAATGTGTAAGAGTCTCCTGTATGGTTCTGGTGTTGAAACTGTGATGGGGTCACAGAGAACAGCTGAGGCTTGCCACTGTAAGAGGCCAGAAAAGGCCATTGGTGAGAGTGCAGTCTCAGTTACAGTGAAGACTCCAGGACTGAAGGGGCCATGGAGAGAATCTGAGGCTTTGCACCCATTGGTGAAGGTGCAGCCTCAGTTTCAGTGGAGGTCTCAGCTTTATGGAAATGCCAGGACTGTGAATGACGACCAAGGGCGGCAGCAGGTGTGGAATGGAGCCAGCCTGGGTCTGCAAGACAAGGTGTGTGTGCTGTGGGTGGCAGAGTCAGAAATGTGGAACTGCCAAAACCCTTTGGAGCCCAGAAGATCATGAGTGAATTCCAGATGTCCAGCCTTGAACTATGTTGCTGGAGTTAGGTCTTGCTTAGGTGTGCCTGATTCTTCCCTTTGAAATAATAGTATTTGTTTTGGATTTTACAGGTGCCTCCAGTTAAGAAACTTTTAAATTGTCCCTCCCTCAGAAACCATCAGCAGTCAGTAGTTTCTCAGCTCTGGGTGGGGAACTCATGAATTTAATTGGGCTTACCCTGCACAGGGGCTAATGCTCCTCTCAGAAGCATTAGGTTAACAAATAAAAAGCCTAATGCCAAATGTAGGGTACTTCCTCAAGTCGTTGGTCAGGGGTGACCTGGAGATCCCCAAAACAAAACAGGCTATTGCCATTCCTCTTGGTTGCCCACTAGAACTTGATGGTAAGACCATATTGCTAATGATACTACAAACTGTGGTCACAGGTCCCATTGGTCCTGACTAGGAAGCTTCTTCCCTGCTGACTAGCTCTCATAGAACTGGAAAGTGCTGTGCAGGCTGCTGGGGTTAAAGAAAGTCCTTAACAGTCTTACCCACCTGTGAACCCTGTGAACTACAGTAATGACCTGCATGAAAAGACATGCCCATCAACATAATAGTAACACTAACATTATAGGGGTAACCAACTGCTTTTTGACTGGATTTAAAGATTGCTCCACAGGAGGAAATACATGCCTGATACTGTTTATCCAGCAAAGAATCCATGGTTGGGGAAGCTTATGGGCCATGCTGTCTTTCATATTGCACCCCAGGGGTGAACTTACTACTATTCTTGTTAAATGGATATGGTATCAAGCTGCACTGTAAATGCTTCTCTCTCTACCTATAGACTAGTGCAGGTCTCAGATCTCATTAGAGAAGTTTATGCAACTGATGGCAGCAAATTCAGAAACTCACAATTGGTCAAAGTGCTGAGAATGTGTCTGTGGTGTGCTCGGCCACAATGGGGCATCTATATCACACCCCCACACTCCAAGGCACAGGGGCCCTCATGTAGGAGGGGGTGGAAAGACTGTAGAAGCCAGGGGTCAGGGAGGACTGGGTTGGAAGAGTGTCTTCTGGACAAGACAGGACCTCTCACTCATGAACTCAACAGCAGCTGTGGCTGCCTGTACAAGATCTGCCCCAAATCAAGCAGTCAACATTCCAGAATCTTGTACATTTTTATTTCTGAATTCCTGACTCTATAGTCTCTCTTCAGGTCAGGACAATGTTCTGGTCCATGGGTATGTGATCTTCTTTGGGCAAAAGGCAGCTAGGCAACTGTACTTCATTTTTAGGTGCCCTGCAGGTTATTTCTTTTTCTTGCCAAAGAAATTCTGACCAACCTTCCCTTCCACTAACTAAACTGGGTATACTCTGTGATAAGCTGACTAGTAACCCAGCTTGGCTACTGATTTTCCTGTGAAAGACAAAGAGAATTCAACAGGCTAACAGAGGACATCTATCTTACCTCAAAGCATACTGATATGTATCACACATTCTTCTAAGTGGTTTCTTAATGAGCTGACCCTAGAACATGTAGGAAGCTGGAATGTCTGATTTTTGTTTCCTAACTGTTGACTTTTCTCTTGTGGTGGTACCATGTCTGTGTGCCCCATCACCTGGGGAGTGGTAGGGGTTCACAGAGAGTAAAGGAAGTTAATTCTGATTTTGACAAGTGGTGCATTAATAGAATTATCAAAAATGTCCTAATGAACATTTTTGCATTTCAAAACTTCATTTTTAACAACTTGGATGATTGCCTATATACAGTAGAGTTCTCATTTCAAGCAAGACCCCCACTAGATAAATTACTTGCTATTTGTAAGTATTCTAGAAGGTATAGTGATTATGTCACACAGGAGTTTTTGCAGTGACATTGTTACAACACAAGGAGAAGAGACCAACTGAAATAGCCTTTTATATGTAAAAAATAGGATGAAGACTGACTCTTACCTCATCGAATAAGAAGGCAGCAAATGTCTAAGTGCCCTCAGATTAGTTAGTATGGGTTTAAAAACACGTTTTAAAGAGAAATAGAATGACCTGAATTTTGCTTTACTATGGTGGACTATTTTTCAGTGACCGCAGAATTTTCAGACATAGAAGGGGATGATCTGGTACTTAAAGCTAAGTGTGGTGGTTGCCTGTTGGGTGGATCCCATCCATTACATTGATTTATTTTGTCCTTAGCAAGGAGTGTGAAACTCGTTCATTGCCTGGCTGCTTTTACAGGCTGAGAGGAATTATTTCTTGAGTTGTTTAGTCTCCTGTCAGCCACATTGATACTGGACTTTTCCCCCTCTGCTTAGGTATCTGCCTACTTTCTTGGAAAATTAAGTGGAAAAGATAGCACTTCTTCCCCTTGTGCCGTCAGTTTAACTGTACCAAATCGGTGACTTTAGGAGCACCAAGTTTTAAGGGTAAGTCTCTGGGAATCACAGAGTTTCTTGAATAGGTATGGCCCTGAGGACCAGCTGAGTTTAAGGAGAGAGTAGGGAGGGTTGGGAATAAAGTGATTCCATAGGGCAGACCATCTAAGATTCTTCACCTTTTGCTTATCTAGAATCACTCATGTTGGGAATAAGAAACAGCAAACTGCTCAGTTCTTCATTTCACTATATATGACACATCATATATATATATGATTATATATATTATATGATTATATATTATATATATATGATTATATGACACATCAGTAATTTTAGATCCTTGTTGGATAACTAAGTGACTTTTTGTTGTTGTTTACTCTTACATAAACTATAACACCAGGAAGATCCCAAGTTAATTAACATAGCATATAACTTTTTAAAACAGTGTTTGTATTTATTTTCTCAAGGTTGTTTGAACTCCGGAGCTACACTGCACTAGTCTGAACTTGTTCTTTCTTCTCCTTTTGATTATTTTGAGGTAGGGTCTTGCTGTCCTCTGGTCTCAGCCTCCCGAGTGCTTGGATTACCAGTGTGTGCCATCCCACCTGCCTACTGAGTCTTCAGTATTTGTTGGTGTAATGACTTTAGACATCTGTAAAATGCAGATCATGGAAGCATTTATTTCATGAGTGTGTCTCATAAGACAGTTTCATATAAAGCAAATAGGTGTTGTTTCCATTAGGATTATATGTGATACACTGAATGGTATATATGGTAAAAATGCAAAATTTTTCTATAAATATGAGTATTATGACAATCTACCCACTGGCTTATCTGAAACTTCTTAACTGAGATGCATGCCCATAAAAGGTAACTGTGTATGCTGCATAGATAGATGAGAATGTTGGCTTTTCTTCCCCAGTTCCCAGCTGCCAAGGTAGAATACATGAAAATCTGTCTGTAGGGTGTGTGCAGTAAACCTCAATGCCCACCATTGTTTTCTTGGAATAAAAATGGAAATGAGTGGTATGCTCTGTTTGTTGTCTTTCGTATTGCAGTTACTAACACCCGCAGGACCTGAATAAACCCCTCAGACTAAAAGCCCCTGACTTATTAATCCACTTCGCAACCCTGTTAAGTCACATAAAGTAGAGAGCATGAGTCCCACACAAAGCTATTTCTTGTAGTCCCAGCTGCCAAGTACACAACTATGCTTTCTGCTCTACAGCCCCTGTCATCAATGCTGGATGCTCTCATTTGCCTGTGCATTTTCAAATTCAGTGTGTTCACAGAACATACGAAGTACAGTAAAGTGAGCAGAACAGCAGGTGCCTGCCTGCCTGAAGAGAGGATGTGGGACTGGAGAGATGGCTCAGCGGTTAAGAGCACTGGCTGCTCTTGCAGAGAACCCAGGTTCAATTCCCAGCACCACATGGCGACAAACATCTGAACTCCAATTCCAAGGGAATCTGATGCCCTCTTCTGACCTCGGTGGGCCCTGCATGATACAGGCGCACTTGCATACATGCAGGCAATTACACCCATGCACACACACACACACACACACACACACACACACACATAAATAAATGTTTAAAAAAAAACAAGAAAAAGAAAAGATAGCAGATACCATGAGACTCACAGTTCCTAAGAAGGGGAAAGTTACACAAGGAAGCACAGGCTTGCTCTTGGGGCAGAGAAAGGAGGAACTGTGGGTAGGCTTAGGAGTGTGGGCAGTTTAGGATTGGCTGCTGTGAATAACTGTCATGGTCCCTAGAATGCAGTGGCTGTCCCTAGTTGTCTAGTACCTTGCCTTAGGGTGATTAGGACAGGAGGACAGTGAACCAGAATGTGAGAGCCAGTAAAGGCAGTGGAGTTAGCTGGTTTGTATGTAGATTAACTGGCAGGTGAGTTCTTTATTGTCTCTAGGAACTGGCTCACTCTGGGAGGACCAGTCCCTCCAACATCAATAATGCCAGGACAACTCAAAACACTGAAAATAAAAGATACAGTTAATACATGGTTTTACTTTCAGCCCAAACAGGCAAATACTTTGAGTCATGTTCCTTTGCTGCATCTGGGGTTCGGGGCAGGTGCTCTAATCTGGGAGGATTCTGAGTCCGAGACCTAAATAGAGCCTTCTGCTCAATTCTACACCTCAGTTGCCAGCATCCTACCTTGCAGCCTTCCGAATGTCACATGGACTTCATGATAAAGAACTGAATTCATTGTCATCTTCTCTCACAGTGCTCAATTTCTGTTTCCATCTCAGATAATGGCAGAGTTTTGTGCCTGTCTGTCCAAACTAGGAATCTGTTATCTTCAATGGCTTCTGCTTAGACAGTCTGTCACCAGAACACACCCATTTTATCAGTGTGCCCTGACATGAGTGAACTTGGCCATGTAGCTTTCTCTGTAGCTCTGTGCTTTCTTCTGCCTCCTCATCCACCAAACAACCTGCTATCTAGTTGTCTTGTCCATTGAACAAGTATTATCTTTTAATGGCAGTGCCTGTCATCTCTCTTTATTTAAAAGCCTTGAGTAGCGTCCTGGTAATTGAAGGCTCAAGTTCAAAATCCTGGCCCGACAGGCCCTTCACAGTCAGTGAAGGGGGCTTCACAGTGCCCCCTAGCTGGCCGTCAGTCCTCAGCTGGCTGCCACCTTGATGTTAATGATAGCCCATTGTTCTTGAGTCCAAAGTTGTGTACCTTTGTGGGGAAACCATCTCCAACATTTCTAACTGTAATGGATTATCTTTTCCTGCATACTTAATATTTTTATACACCTTTGTTATAGGAATGACCTCAAAGTATATTAACTACTTTATCTGTGGCTTTTCTCTACATCTTATTTATTTATGTGTTTTTGCTGAGACTGTATGCTCTACTAGGCATTGTGATGGATGTCGAGGATGTAGAAATAACCTGTCCCCAAGAATCATAGCATGGCGATCAAAGTAGACAGACAAACTTGTGTCAGACTGAAATTGAAATTGATGGCAGGTTATGAATAGCACTGAGAAGATGACCCAGGTAAAGGCCTGGGAAGCAATGTTTGCAATGGAACTTGAAGGACTAGGATGGGTTCATTGAGAAGAAAATCAGTAAGATTAGAGAAGGTTAGAGATTTGATAGGTGAAAAGCAGTATTGTTGTGTGTCTGCATTTCTTTTTCTGTTGCTGTGATAAAATACTCCGACAAAAGCAGCTTAAGGGGGAAAAGGTTCACTGTGGTCATAGTTGAAGGTACAGTTTGTGGTGGCGGGGAAGTGAAGGCAGCAGGAGCTTGAAGCATCTGTCACGTTGCATACAGTTTAGAAGCAGGAAGCACTGAGTGTTTGCTGCTGTTCAGCTCTCCACTCACACAGTCCAGAGTCCCAGCCAGGGAGTGATCCCACCCATACTGGCATGTCTTCCTACCCCACTTAATTTAATCAAGCTTAATCTCCCATAGACATGCTCAGGGGCCCATCTCAGGTGATTCTAGATTCTGTCAAGTTGACAACATTAACTATCACAATGCAGGAAAAGGCTGGAAGTGGCAATAGTGGAATGTTTCCTGTAGCTGGCCTTGGTTTAGTGATCTTTTATTTCTCAGACATACATGTGGCTCAGGGGAGCAGGCAGCAGACACAACTGTCTGCATTTCAGAAGGTTCATTATATTCGCCAAGAAAAATAGTTGTGGCCACATGAACCCAGGACTGGCAGCAGCACTGTTAACTTCCTGGTTGAGACGTGTTTTTGCATGGCCATCCTCTTTACAGTAAGATGTGTCATATTATTCCTGGGATTGGAGACAGTGTGAAAACTTTACCTGCCAGGAGTTTACTATATTAATAGGTCTTCAGTTTTTTTCTTATGGCTGAGTGCCAAAGGAATGTGAAATTTTCTGGCGCCCCATATAGCCAACCTCTCTTTTATGCATCAGGCACACTACAGAGTCATGCTTGTCCTATCACAGGCCTAGCTGTGCCCTCACCCTTAGGTATCTTCCCACCAGGATTTGGTGGCATGGGTAGGAGTTGAGAGGTTAAGCAAATACTGTACTGCTACTGGCAAACATGTCTTAAATGGAAGAGTCTTGGTTTTAGTGATACCATTGATATTAAGATTGAATAGACTCCCAGCTAATTCTTATATGGGCTGAAAGAACCTGGTAAGTGAATGCTGAGTTATCAGTGTACATGAAGTTAAGCAGCATTGAGAGAGATGGGGTGGAGGAGCGGGACATAACCCTTTTCCTTTCCACTCATTGTCTTTGTATGTTACTAAATGCTGTAAAACACTTAGAAAATCCCATTGCGTGTCACTGGAAGAAAGCCAAAATAAAAGATGGAAATATTTGATATTTCCCTTCTGTTTTGTTTAAATCAAATACCACTTTGTTTAGTTGGCTGAGAATGCAGCATTTTCTTCACTGTGTGCTCAAAAACTCCAGATTTGGGTTGACTGCCTTGCTTATAACACTTTATATAAAACCATGCTCTTAGTCCTGATAGTTAAATTCACGTTGTGGCATGCATTTCTCTCCTGGAGAGTTATTTAATGTCTCCATGTGTGTTTTCAGAGGAAGAAAGTCTGTATTTAAAGTCTGTGATTGTTAATTAGAAAGCTAGTTAACCTGTAAAATTACAAGGGAATATGTAGTTATAGTAATTGGTATTGGTCCCTCTTTATATCTAATCTACACTTAGCATCACAAATAAACATTTGACTAAGTTAACTATTAAAAAGATTGTTTCCTTTTGGGGTCATTAATGTCCTACATGTTCATAGCAGATTCTAGAAGTAGACATGGAAATCAGTGTGGAAGAAAATCACTGTCTTTCCTTACAATTGACACTGTCATTCTCTTTTGTATTCTGTGTCTTTTCTCCCCCTCCCCCTTCTAGGAAGAACGTTGGTGAAAAGCACAGAAACCAGTGATTTTTGTGGCTGTGGAATTTCCATGGAGAAAACAGAGCATAGGAACCGACCTGAACCATCTTCTGCCCCTGGCAAGCCCTGCACACTCCCTGGCTACTTCTGGGGCTGAGTGAAGCTGTATGAGGGAGCTTTCAGAGGACCCTTGGAGAGGTGTGGAGGGGGCTGGCAAGATGGGCGAGAACATGGAGCAAATGTTTCACAACCTGAACCTCAGAACTGTGATCCTCCAAGGAGAGCGCTACTTGAAGAAAAGAAAAAAAATGTTGAATGGCTTCTCAGGGATTTTATTTTCCATGTACACATAAGCCATAGTTCCAGTACAGGTGGCAGTATTTAGAGCACTCGGGTTTCAGTTCTGTTAAATGTGAAAGAGGGATTGACTGACGTTCATTGATGTTCCGTAACTAGTGTAAAATATGTATATGTTAATCTTTATTTTTATAATACGCAAATACATTTAAATTTATACAGTTTGAAGCTTCTAGCATTAGTTAACACTGGGTGCAATATTTTGCATGAGAACTGTGCCAAGTTGGGGCTGATTTCTTATTTTAGTGTAAGACTTTTTTGTTCTTTAACTTCACCTTCTCAGACTAAAAAGGAAAAGGCATCATCTACCTGTTAGTCCACAGATTCAGTGTTGGTTCATAGAGACTTTTGGTAATCAGCAAGATCCTTGAGCCCATTGAGACAGGGTCCTCTTCTACCTTTTCATTAAAGCTCCTGCCTGTAAATCATTAGACACAGCGGTAGCATCACTGGAGAGTAGGATCATTCATTTTCTCTCCCCACACATCAGTCATCACTGCTGTGGTAAAGATGAAGCATTCTGAGAGGCCAAATGGGGTGAAGCACCCAGGGACAACCCGAATCTTGGAACAGCTTAAGATAATCAGGTTAGTTCTAAATTTTGCAGGGACTCTGCTACTAAGCATCTTTTTGTAGAACAGGGTGCAAAATTTAGCATAGTGCTATGTGAACCTCCACATCTGGCTTCAGGTAGTGAGCCTCCTGTTGGTGAGCATGATCCCACACTGGCTATTATTCATTCAGAGCCAATTGTTGAAGGATCTTCTGCCAAGATCTAATAAAACCCTTGTTTTGAAATCTCCAGGAGGTAAAACTTAGAAACAAACTCCACAAAATGCTCCCTAGTCTCCCAATTGGGGCCAAACAGCATATGCTGCAGTAGTAACACACTCTTTGAAGAATGTAAAGGACTCTGTTTACATCTGCCTCCTCCCTGTGTTGACAGGAAATGTGTAAAACTGTTTCTCCCCAGTGTCAGGCAAGAAGAGTGAGTCAGCTGGTCTTCCTTTTCACTTGCTTATAAAGGATTGACTCTGAGTGCTACAGCACATGCACTCTCCACAAATCCTTCAGGGAAATGGTGGACGAATGGCTGTGCTGGGAGAAATTGCAAATCAGTTTGTGTAGCATGTTCAGTCCGTTGACCTGACTGCCTCCAGAGCCCCCATTACGCAAGGATGGTTTAGAATCATAGACTCAAGTGGGAATCAGTCTCTTTTTATGTTTTTAATACTTGAATGTGACAGCTCAAGTTTGAGATTTTGTTTTCTTTTAGAACACAGTCACGGGACGGATCTGGTTAATTGGATCTGGTTAATTTTGTCACAGTTCTCGTGCATGTGTGTAAGTGGAGATTGAATGGTAATGTTTAATTTCTTTATGGACCACTGAATTATTGGGCAATAAGTTTTTTAATTCACACCAGGCAGTTCCAAAACTGTCAAATCAACTATCTTTGACCTGTCTTGAAAAAGTCCTGTATGACTTTGGGTTCACTCCCCAGAGGGCCATATTAAATGAAAATGAGGCTCCTTGGGGTGATGCCCTGCAATGGTTGCCATTTTCATAAACATAAATGCCCATGTTCTGAGTATCTGCTACTTTGTGACAAGTGATGTTTTGTGCTGTCGTCTGAACCCTCGAGAAGCAGTGTATATGAGGAAATGTGTTTTGGCCAAAGGGTCGACATGGTCAGAGGGTCATGTGACTGAAAGAAGTCTCAGCAAAGCCCGAAAACTTGCCTCATGAGGGGAGGGTTGGAGATACATAAACCACTCTGCTCAATAGGAATTTCACCGTCTACATAGGAAATTCTGTTTCCTCTTTCAACAACCTGGGAAGATGCCGCAGCCAGCGGCTGAGGGGCCATTCACGAAGCACAAGAGGAATTTGTTCTACCCAAGGAGTCCCTTGCCTCTCAAACAAATGCCCTCCAAGTTTGTTATGGTTTCTATTCCTGCAGCTGGTGGTATCCAAACCACTTCCTGGAATTGTAAAAGTGCTGCCAGAATAAATGTTCTTCCCCCTTCTAAGGAAAAAAAAAATGATAGTGCTCATATTTGATATGTGCACTGGACTTTTGAATGAATAAAGAGGAAGGGCTTGATGTGATTCTGATGGAGTGTGTGTTTTTCATGATGCAGTCTGTGAATTGTATTGTGGTTTCCCAGTTTATTGTCCTAATGGGGTGGAAATTTAAAAAATAAATACAAATACAAAGAAATGATTAAGCCATGGCAGTTTGGAGTCTAGTTATTTCCAGTTTGATTTTGGTTTTACTATTATCAGTTAAGTAGTAACTATTTTGTATTTTTAGTTCCTAAGTTTGAGCTATGGGAGGAGGGGACAGCAGTTTTCAACTGTTTGGGGCTTGAGTCCTTAAGGGACAATGAAAGTCTCTGTTTTAAAATTTTCTGTTACATTTATTTTATTTGAGTATGTGTATGGCATTTGCATGCCACAGTGCACATGTCAGAGGACAATGTTAAATTGGTTCTCCGCTTGCCTTATAGCATATGGATTCCAGGGCTCAAACTCTGGTCATCAGGCTTGGGAGCACGTACCTTCACCCACTGAGCCATCTTACTGGCCCAAGTTTCCATTTTAAAACTTTGCCAGTGAGCCACAGCCCTAGCCCAGTACCACCTGCTAAGTCAAATCATTTTTCCAGTGGGCCATTGTGTTCCTATATTGGAGCTTGCTTGTATGACAGGTTTGGAAGATTCCATTTTTCTGGTGTGTGTGTGTATTTATGTGTATGAATGTTTTGCCTGTTTGTAAGCATACCATGCATGCAATGCCCATGGAGGCCAGAAGAAGGCATTGGAGCCTCTGGAACTAGAGAGTTACAAACTTGTTAGCCACCATGTGGGTGCCAGGAACAAAACCCATGTCCTTTGCAAGAGCAGTCAGTACTCTTAATCACTGAGTTTTCTCTTCAGCACTCCCCCTCCACTCCCCCATCCCCTGATCTAAGGCTCATAACAGGATTCCTGCCATGAATGATCAGAGACCCTCTGGAAGTTTGAAATGGCAGGTCCCTGAGGACTTGGTCAGAAGTTCTTTTCCTCTTGTTTTTCAAGAAACAAATGAAAAATAAAAGTAGATGAGAAGAGATGGAGAGGAAAATGCACCAAAATAGACAAGCACAAGCCCTGCACAGAGGGCCTGAGCCATAGGGACAGAACTAGATCAGACCAGGAGGCTCTCTTTGAAAGAGTTCTGAGAAAGTAGGTGGGATTATTGAATAGCATGGATTCAAATATATCTCTTCCAGTAAAAACTCTGAAGCCATCCGAGGTGGAACTTAGGCGTGCTCCTGGTAGAAGGGCTCACCTCACAGCTGAGTCCAGGTAACACTAAGTACTGTACTCATTCCCAATGCTACCTACAGTTTGAGCACTTGTCATTAACTCAGGCCTAGATTTTCATCATCAGAACACTGGATTTCTCTAAGCTTGCTGAGCAGATCACACAGAAAGACAGGTGTCAGTGGTGACAATTAGAAATGCAGTTTTCTCACATTTATTGTTTCTTCCCTAGACTGTCTCTCCCACCTCACTGAAAGGTTTTTTTGAAGTAGGTACCAAGTTTACAGAACTTTGAAGGCAGCTTATCTGGAACATGGAGGAGACAGCACATGCTAAATCCTTGTGCCAGGGTTACTTTGCTCCTGTCTGCTTATGCTGCCCAGTGACATCACCCCTTGGGGTAGGCAACAGGATGCTCATCATCTTGTGGGACCTATTATTGAGCCTGCATGATGTGGTTGTAGGGTGACTTGGAAGGGACTTTAGAAAGAAAATGACCCTTTGAATCTACCTGGGTTCAGCAGAATGAGAAAACTGACCTATAATGGAACCCCATTTAACTATTTGTAAGCCCTTTCAAGAAAGATATGTCTTTTTTTATTTTTGTGTGTAAGAAATAGTTTTGAATGAAATGAATGCCATTCTAAATACTCAATCTAATTAGGTGTTTCCCAAACTGGTCCTTGGAGCATTCATGATTTCTACAACATTAACACATGCTCCCATTGAAAAGGGTTCAAGATCCAGATCTTTGAGAAATCCCATGTTAAATAAGGCCAAGGAGTCCTTGTTGCAGGGTTCTGAGCACCTTCAAGATGATGATATAAGGTATCAGTCTCCAAAAGGGAACCAGAATGGGCAGGTTTCAGAGTGTGGAGGGAGCCTTTCCAAATGTGGCCTGTGGACATCCCCTGTACCCTTGTATTAGTCAACATTCCCTAGAGGAGCAGATGATAGAATGAATATGCATTATTAAAAGGATTTATTAGATTGGCTTACAGGATACAGGCTGGATAATTCAACAGTGACTGGCTGCAAGTTACAAAAGCTAAAATCCTGGTAGCTGCTCAGTCCACAAAGCTGGGTGCCTCAGCAGTCCCAATCTGGCTCTGAAGGCCTGGAGGATTCCTGGAGAGCTTCAGTCCATATTGGAAAGCTGAAGAATCTAGATCCTGATGTCAGTGGAGGCTAAAAACACTCACCAGCAAGAAGGAAAGGCAGGTGAGTAACAGGGTGACTTTTGCTGTTGGTGGTAAAGGAACCATCCATTCCAGGCGGGGTTGGAGGAGAGTCTTCCCCTCGAAGTTAATTCTTCCTGAAAATAACCTCGCAGACTCACCCAGAAGTGTGTCTCTTAGTTGATCCAATCAAATTGACAAGATTAACCACCACATCCCCCAAGACCAATGTTTCCAAAGTACAATAGACACAGCAGCAACTTTAAAAGGTTTGGATATGTGAAGGGAATGGGGCAGTTAAGACAATAGGCTGAGTCTGCCCCTGCCAACTGTCATGATGCACCTGTTTCTTGGTATAAAAAGAAAACGGGAAACTGTCTAACTCATGTTAAGATTATTAAATGAGATGCCATGTGAATGTAAGTGCTAGCCAAGAAGATGCCACGTGGTGCTAGCCAAGTACAGCTAATCTGTGGTGCATAGCTCTGTTACTGCAGAGAAAAATAGACTGTTAGCAAAGAACTTTTTACAATATCTAGTTTGAATTTTTAACAAGTTTTTTGTTTCTGTTATATTGGCTAATTAGCTATTTGCACTGGTGATGAAACATTTCTATTTAAAAGGTGTGCATTTTAAAAGATACTTCATTTATCTTGGTGCTGAAGACTAAACCCAGAATACATGCTAAGCAAGTGCTCTGCCACTGGACTGTACCCCAGAAACACTCTAATACATGTTAGAAAGGAAAAGTTATACAAATAAATGAAGGAGACACAGAAACAGGGAAAATAGAAAAGGATGGCAAAAGTTACGAAAATGATATGTGATTGTGACAGTAACATAATAAGGGCGGAGTAGGGGCCAGTGGTGTAAGAAGTTCTTGTCCCTTGGCTTAATACAGCCCACAGAGAGCCCAGGCAGCCTGCCTTCGTGTGTCTGAGAGATGCCAAAAGCTTTACAGATACTCTTACCAGCTTAAAATTTCTGCCAGAAAAATTTATTGGAAGAATATTCTTAAGTTATAATGTAAAATTACTTCCTAAATTCAAATTTTAAAGTGAGTTAAGCATCTTTAAATATTGTTTCAGCCTTGAACTCACAGAGATCCGCTTGCCTTTGCTGGGATTAGTCATGTGCCACCATGCCCAGCACTAATCAGATTTATAATTTTTAGAAACGTAATCCTGGCTATGTCCAGGCTTGAAGATGTATATGGATGCAGTGGGGTGACTGGCAGGAACACTTACAGGGGTGTCTCATCTTCTGACACTGCAATATGATGTTATCACCTACAAATGTATTGGGCCACATTCCTAGCTCTTCTGGGACGCATGCAGCCTGTAGGCCACAGTTTGAACATGCCTGTTAGGAGTCTTGTGATAATTCAGCAAGAGTTGCTGGTGGCCTGGGAAGAAACAGAAAAAAAGTGGAGAGAAGCGATTTTAGAACTACTGGAGGAAAATACTAGTAACTGGTGACTGGAGGGCGGAGAGACTGAGAGAACAAAGGGCTAGCTTCAGCAGGATGATCTCCACGTTCCTGCTCATGTCCTGCTCTTCCCAAGCACTAATTATTTATTTATGCATTTTTATGTGTATGAGTGTTTTGCTTATATGTATGTAAGTCTTGCATCATACCCATGCATGTAATGGCTACAGAGACAAGAAGAGGGTGTCGGATTTGCTGGAGCTAAAGTTAGAACAGTCAGTAGCTGTCATGTGGGTGCCCAACCCTGATCCTCTACAATAACAGTCAGTACTCTTAACTGCTGAGCCATCTCCACTGCACCCCTGTTCCCCAGCACTATTTTAGAGCCTTTAAAGGGCAACATACACATGCAAAATAAATAAATAAAAGTGTAATAAAAATAATAAAAGAACGAGAAGGAAGAACAGGTTTTGGGTGTGTCTAAGACACAAAGTCTTAGACATGTTGAGATTGGAAATGTAGTTTTGTTTACACATGCACATGCAGCTGCCTCAAATTAGGCAACACACAAATCTTGTTTATTCTTTCTAGAGCCCTTATACTCTGATATCCCTGCTACTGTCTGCTGTGTTTTCGGCACCCCAGCCATTCCCCACTGCTTGCCTGTTCTACATAGCGAGTTCTAGGTTAGCTGGGGCTACAGGAAGACCGTGTCTCAAAAAGACCAAAAATAAATAAATAAATAAATAAATAATCTGCTTATTAGCAATATTGTCATTGTTGATTGATTAATTAAATCTGCTTAGTAGAATATTGTCATTTAACATTCACACATGCAAATAGAGTAGCTTCCTAGTGCTGGCAAGATGGCATTCAACCCTGAGGATTCACATGGTAGAAGGAGAGAACCAACTCCTACAAGCTGTCATCTGATCTCCACTTGAGGAAGCACCTACACACACAGACACAGACACAGACACACACACACAAAAATAAATAAATAAATAAATGGGGCTGAAGAAATGACTCAGCAGTTAAGAGCACTGGCTGTTCTTGCAGAGGACCTGGGTTCAAAGGTGTGGCTGCTAACAACTGTATCCATAACTCCAGTTCCAGGGGTATGACGCCCTCTTCTGACCTCTGTGGCATTGCACAATACAGGTGCACTTACACACAAGCAGGCATAACACTCATACATGTAAAATAAAAATAAGTAAAACATTTTAAAAAAAAAAGAAAAATAAATAA